GTTTAAAAAAATATTAGTTTTTAATTAAACAATGAATACTACTGATTTTTAAAAACATAGTAACCTATACCTTTGCTGATTTTTATTAAAAAAAAGAATACTGCTTACACCATCGGACTCAAGCCCCAAGATATGGTGTAAGCATGTAAAGCAACGTAGCCAAAAAATTAAAGAAAAGATAAAAGAAAGGCAAAAACTATGGAGATGAATGAAGCACGTGAAAAAGTATTTTCATTTATAACGAGTTATGTAGACATATAAATTAAAAGGTATTTCTAAATTGATTCATATGCTATATATTAAGAAAAAATATGTCGTTAATTCCAAATTAAGACTTGTCATTTCACAATCAAAATTTATTATTCTTAGATAAATCGTTGTCATTTTTAATTGATTCAAGTGTGTCACATTCCAAAAATTTTCATCTGGCAATAAGGGATCAAAAATTGGGATGAGAATCAATGTAGAAACTAGAAGGAGAGATAAAACAACTTTTGATGTGAAACCCCAAAAAGGTCCGGACTAGCATTTCCGTAATTATCGGTCTAAGAAGGGTAAAACGGAAAAATTTGAGAAAAATATCAAAAAATCCTTGAAAAATGGGAAAAGTGTAGAGTAGAGGTTTTGGAAACTTAGTTGAGGCCTGAAAGGTAGAATTTTGGTGAAAATGAATTATTACGGAATTTCCCGTAAACGGAGGTTTTTCTGGAAATTATTGAGGAAATGAAGGAAAATAATTATTTTAATGAGTTAGAGGCCTCAAAAAATTTTGGGAGATTGATGAAAAATTTATATAAATATTTATTTGAATTTATAAAATTAGTTTTAGGCCATGGAAGCTCAGGAATTAATTTTAAGGAATTTATTTTTTCTCAGAACTACCGATAAAGGCCCAATTGGAGAAAATTCAAAATAAATACCTAGAGGTGGTGAAAAACTCTGAACATTTTTAGATCATATTCTCATATTAAAAGGTGATTTATCATGGAGAGAAATGAATTTTTGGAGGTCTAAAAAAATTATGAAATGTTACTAGTGAATAGTAACCGATAAAGTTTCTAAATGGTTTGAGATAGTGGTTTGGTTTGTGGCCTATCTTTTTGGGTCAGCCTAAACCATTTGTGGGGTCCACAATGGACCCATTAAAGGCCCAATTTCATGCACTTTTCAGATTCCACTATTTTTATTAAATAAAATGCAAAATTAAAAGATATTTGTGTGAAAAAATCAAAAGAAATGCCACATGGTGAGATCTGAAGGTTTGAGGCACTTCATGGCTTCCAACACACCTCCTTATCTATCATTTGGACATGCTAATTAGGGGGGGAAGTGGCAGAATTTTTGGTCTATAAATACCCCTTGAAAATACGAAGAAAATGTTAGCAAATTGGGAAAAATAAGGGGAAACTCTGCCACTATTCATCCAACCCTATTGCATGAAATTCTTGAGGAGTTTTAGGCAAAGAATCATCCAACTTACTTCAAGAAAACACTAAGGTATGTCTAAGCATCAATACCCCTAAGTTTTACATTGATTAAATAAGGATTTTTGCTTGGGAAAATGCTGGAAAAATACTGGAAAATTCTGAAAAATTCGGTTGAGATGTGTGATGCTTAGGGAAGGATAGAAACCTTAATAATCAAGTGGAATAAGGAAGATTAAGTGGTGTATAGATTGATTTTGGATGAAATCAAGTTAGGGTTTAAGGGGAATGATTTCGGTCTGCTACTGTTCATACATAACCAGTTGGATTTTTCTTGATTTGATAATTCCAAATGCTTTAAAACATGTTTTTGTGTAGGAATATGTTGTTGGAAAGTGTTTAAAAATCATTGGAATCAAAAATAGAATTTTTAGAAAATTAAGGACCCCTATTCGGCCAAACCAGATTCATGGGGAAAGAGTGTGATTTTCAAAAATCTGATTGCACTATTGGATTCCTCATGAAAAATTGTGTAGGATTGAGTTATGAGGTGATTGATTCTAAAGAAGGAATCAATTTGTTAAAAAACAAAGAAGAAGGGGGGGAATTATTAAGTAATGTTAAAGTGTTGAAACCAAGTTGTTTTGTGATTAATATGGCCTATGTTTATGCTTGGTTTAATAGGCATTGAAAGGAGAAATTAAGGAGAAGCATTGCTCCTTGGAGGAATTAATTGGACAAGCTTTGCAAAGGTAGCTTTGAATTATAATTTGATTGTTTATCTTGTTTGTTTGTTGCGAGTGTTGTTGCTTGGATTAGAGGAACTTTGTGATGACCTTGATTGTTGATTGACATTGGTTATGCTTTGTGATATGTCAATGTGAATAATATGATGTTCCTCTTCTTGCATGATATGTGGTATGAATTCCTATGAGTTGGGAATGGTTTGGATTGCATGACATTTTATAATTGAACTTGCATTGATTTACATGATAATTATAATTCATATGCTACTGAGATTTCTTTGAAATCTCATTCCTGTTAGATTTAAGGTTTTAATGATAACAAAGTTTGGTAATATGTGTTTTAGTAAGTTGATAGATCACCTGATCGATCAAGGGTTTATCGATCACTTGATCGATAAAACTCCTGTGCAAACAAGTAACTTAGCAAAATGTTAATCGATAACTTGATAGATAATGTGTTGATCGATTATTGTTAACACTATTTTGTGTAGAAGTTTGCTGATAATTATCGATAATCTAATGATCAAACACCTATCAGATAATGGGACACAATTTTGGTAAGTATTTATCGATTACTTGATCGATAAATTGGTCATTGATAAGAAGACAGATAAATGGTAAAGCTCTTTCGCTTTGGTTATATTCTGTTTCTTTTATCATTTACTGATCAGAGATTTTTCGATAACATGATCAAACATTGCTTAATAACCCACTCGATATGTCCTTGTTCAAGGTTGTTATCTGGTTGATTTATTGATCACTTGATCGATCAGTGATTTATCGATCAAATGATCGATCATCACTATCTCGCTCTACTTTTTAAGTTATGGTTTTTCGATCACCTGATCGATAATCTAATTATCGATGAAATGATCAATCACCCATATATCTGAATGTTTTGTTTACACATAACATGATCAATCAAACATTTCCCTGGCATTTCAGAACTAAGTCTCTCTGTTTTATTTTATCGATCACTTACTCGATCAAACATTAATCGATCATCATTTGTTTTATGCCCTTTGAAAAAAATCTTTGTTAAATCTCTTTTATCGATCAAATTTTCCATCATTCATTTATCCATAAAGTACTCTATCATTGCTTCTTGAAAATCTATTTCTACCTCACTTTGCTTTATCGATAGCTTGATCGATCAATAAGTTTTCGATCACTTGATCAATCATTGACTTATTCTAGTTAAATATCAACAAGTTACCATGATTCTCAAAATATGTTGATTATTTCTCTTCAAGCTTTTCTCAGCCTTCATGTTTATCTTAATTCTCACTACTACAAAATGAAAAATACTCGACGGTTATTTTGGATCATATTTGACGGTTAAAAACCGTCAACTATACTGGCGTCATATATTTCAACAGCAAATATTTGACGGTTATTAACCGTCAAATATTTAAATCATACTTGACGGTTACTAGAGAAAAACTGCCAATTATTTTGAGATTATACTTGACGGTTCCAAAAACTGTCAAGTATTCTGGAATACTTAACGGTTCCAAAAGTGATCGTCAAGTATTATGAAACATACTTGACGGTTATTTTTGAAAAACCATCAAGTATTATTTAATACTTGACGGTTAGTTTTGAAAAACCATCAAGTATTATTTAATACTTGACGGTTTTAAAAGTAACCGTCAAGTATGTTAGAATACTTGACGGTTTTAACTAATAACCGTCAAGTATTATTGGTTTTTTTTTAAAAAAAAATTCGTTCTCCTTTGCCAGCAACCCCCTGCAATTTTGAAACCGATAACAAAGGCTCATTCAACAGAATTATGCAGGCCAGCATTCAAACCAATTTAGCCATATACATATATGTTAATGAACCGAAAATAATTTACATTATCATATATATACATGAACCAATGAAAACCAACTGTGATATATTAAAATTCTGGCAAGTACAAAAGGTGAACCAATTCCAAAATTAGCCAATTGCCAAAGTTGTGCAATGCCTAAAACTAACCAACAGCCAAAAATGAACCAAAACCAAAATTATATTGAAACCAAAGCTAGCTGTACGTACATACACTGTCTTAATGTACACTTCCCTATCTATGTTGTGCCCACTGACGGAATAAGGCCATCGCCAACTCCTCAACGATTTCTTCCATCTGAGCAGATGAATACACTGTGCAATATGTGTCGGCAAAGTACTGTATGCAACCACAAATTATGACTTAAGTTAGATAGAAATGTAAAGCTACAGTAAGTACAATAATTCTTAAATATATAAATTGAACCTTAACAAATGCATATTACCTGCGTGGGAATTGTGTCAGCATTGTGCAGAATTATCTCCTTCATAAATTTCATCACGCAATATCCACAATGGGAGCTCTTGTTGGGCTGACGTGGGCACTGTAAAGAATGGAAAAGGAAATAATATTAGTCAATCATATAAATAAACCATATTTAGTAGAATAGTAAATAATGGTAGTGAATACCTTCACTTTCTTCCACGGGAAGGTATCGTCAAATTGGCTGTTTTTTACCGGGGGGCAGGGTAAGGCCTGATTTGTGCGGTATAGCCACAAAGCCCTGAGAAGACAATAAAATTGAATATTAATGATTGTCAAAAATTTGATTGAAGCAAGAAATTAAATTAAATTTAAATAATAGAGATAAATATTACTTGTTGAACAATGAAACCATAAATGGTCGATTGGTTGGATCCCCATGAAGAGAATCAAGATACCAAATCCTCGGCTTTGTGGGATTGACCACAATCAGCATCTAGTGTCCCCTAAGTATAAGAAAGACAATTAGAACTATTACAAATTATTTTGAAAATGAAAGAATTTAGGAAAGTTTACCCTTGACAATAAGGCGCCAAAAACAAAGTCTGAGCCCCCGGTGTTGCCCTAGAAATGAAGATATCCAACAAGTCTCTGGATAAGTCTTTCTTCATATTAGGTCCGTGGCCAGCAAAAGTGTGGGGGCTGATAATCTTGAACTTGTCATCAAGGCCACCAGGGGCTATGAAGTTCTTGAAAAGATATCTAAATCAACAAACGAAGATATCAATAGAATAAATGTTCAAGTACTTAAGTATTTAGTTAAGGTTTTAACAAATACCTGATATAAAAGTTACAGGCATTTGTGCTGGCCATTCCATGCGTCAGAATCTCTTTCAATACTTCATTTGTGACATAATCTGACGAGGGTCGACCGTATACCTCTGGCTCAAACTCTAGGGGAATCATGAAATCCTCGCCATGTTCTAATCTGGCCCCAATTGCATATTCCTCAAGACATATTCGGAATCTTGATGATACCACTTGAACGGGCTCAGAGGGCTGCTTCTGTGGTGATGATAATGAGTGATCACCCAATAGGCTCTTCTTCCCCTTAGACTGACAAACAGACTGTTAGTAATTAAAATAGAGTTTATTTTAAATCAGCTGAATTTGTAGACCTATACATATATACCTTTGAAGGATGTCCTAATGTAAGAAGACGGCCAGGCCAAGCGACAAAGCTACCCACTGCTTGAGCCACTGTCTTGCATCTGGGGTGGGTATCGGGAGGGCATAATTCGCATCAATAGCAGTGTTCAACTGCACCCTCACATGATCAGCAGGGAGAGGAACATTATGAATTATACTCTCCCCCGGTAAATTGAACATGCGGCCCGTTGCAACAGTGTGATGTTTAGGGCTATCCGCCATACACTGAACGTCCGCTTCACCCTGATTTGTTTAACATGAGAGACAAGTTAGCTAGATATATAAATTATTGAATGTAATTATATAAACACAAGTATTATACCTCAGGTAGCAAGGGGAATGTGCAGCTGTCTTTGCCACTTGGGCTGAGATTCGGAGCCGGCTGTGGTGCTTGATTCTTGATCAACTGCTCGATTAGGAGCGCTTGCGCTTTAACTTGCTCCTTTAACCAGCGTGTTTCTTCCTTCAGCTCCATGAACTCAGCAGAGGAAGGCGTGCACGATGAAGAGGGCTTTTGTCGGTACCCAAAGTAATCTCTCTTGGTGACTCCATAACCAACGCCCCTAAGAAGACCAGGATGGTCAGGAGTCCCCAATGCCCTCCTCAATATATCCTGGTCATCTGCAGAATATGCCCCCTGCGAAACTTCCTGGGACAAACTCTCCTGTGCAACAAACATTGATATAGTTATTCATACTTAAAGATATTTGACAATAACGTGAAGATTATTTAATTTAGAATAATACTCACCATCCTGTCCACGACCTCCTTAACACGAGGATTATCAATTTGGCCATCTTTATTTTGCCTGGCCAGTGCCCACAGCATCTGACGTGATACAGTGACATCTGATCCCTCCTGCTGAGTCACCTCTTGCTCAAGGCCCGCATAACCCAAGCGGCCCTTTCGGTAGGGATACTCATTCTTCTTTACTCTTTCCTTATTTTGGGAACTTAATTCCTGCAAAAACAAAGTAGATTCACAATTAAACAATATATAGATTAAACAAAATGGACTATTTAATATCAAAAAGAGCGAGGATTATTACTTGAAATTGCCTATCACGACGTGACGTCACAAAAGCAGCCCAATCCTCTGGTTTGACCAAGTCCCGTATCAAGCTAGGAACCTAGGACTCGTCGGCTGTGGAAGGATCCTTCAAGTACTTGTGTGTGACAAAATATCGGAAAGAGCGTAGTGCCCTCCCAGCCTTCCCCTCCACAAACCTCTTCCTGCTCTCATCTATATCAAATACAGACTGCAAAACATATAAAACAACACATTAGTGTCACGCAGCTTGTAAGAAAATGAAATTTGAGTTATAATATATTACCGATACATCTGTCCAAATAGTGTCTCGCACTGAACGATCAACCCTCCTCCAGTGCTGCGCTGTAATGGGCACGGTGCTTCGTGCCACTGCCCCAATATAGCTGATAAATTTATTTGACCGTACAGCTTGTCCTTTCTTATTCCACTGTATGGCAAATTTCTTTCCTTCTGTTCGAGCTTTCACGACCTCTTGCATGACACAAAGGCCCCTCTGTATGCGTGCTGCCTCCTCTTGCAACTGTCTCTCCTGCTCAGAGGCATCTCTCGGCTGAGATGGGTTATCAGTGCTAGATCCGCTATCGTCTGCCATCTGCAATGAAATTGAAGTAAACAAAATGAATCAGAATCCATTAAATGAAAATAAAGTCATTAATGACGAAATTTATTTGAACAAAATTAAAACAAATAAAAGAATCAAAGAAAATAATGAGAGAATTTACATGCATGTTTAAGAAGATCTTTTTCTTTTTCTACTCTTATGTTTTTGCATGTTCTTCTTGGTTTGAATTGTTTTGATCTTCTTACGAAACACTTTCCCCCTCTTTGAAATCCATATTCCGTCGTTGTGATCATGCCTGACATACATGGATTGATCTTCATTTAAATGAGAATCAAGTGAGGCCCCTTGAAATGGATCATCTTCAATTGCATTGTCTTCATACCCCGTCTCTTCAATATCCATTTTATTAGTCAACAAAACAATAGACCATCCTTTGGCAGCCGGGTCAGGGACATAAAACACTTGCGTAGCCTGAGAAGCCAAAATGAATGGCTCTTCCTTGTATCCTTCTTTATTCAAATTCAATTGTATAAACCCTAAGTCATCAATCCTCAATGCATTATTATTATCCACCCATTTGCAACAAATACCGGAACTCTGAATTCAATGTAATCCAACTCCCAAATATCCTCAATCACTCCAAAGTATGACATACGTGCATAGATAGGATTTTTATCTTTGGCACTCGATATATGCATGGTACTAGCTACAAGAGTTACGCCACTATTTTGCTGTTTACTCTGATCATCTTGTTGTTTAGTATAGAAAGTGAACCCATTCATAAGGTAGCTTGTGAAAGAAATCACATGTTTGCTCGGTCCATCTGCCAACAACTTTAATTTCTTCGAAACAGAATTAGGATCATTATTATACTTGCCATGCACATGCTCTCTCAACCATGCTGTAAATTGTTTATTGTGTGTTTTGGTGTACCAACTGTCAAGTTTATTGGGATTATCCCTCTTTAGCTCATCAATATGCTCATGCACATAGTCCTCAATCTCTTCGGAGTTGTGCAATACATATAGATGTGCCTGCTCCCACTGTTGGTTTGAAATAGTTACGACTTTCTTTCCCATAATCCCTTCTCCATCTGTCCTTCCCTCATGACGAGACATTGGAACCCCAATATCACTTGCATTTTTTAAGTAATGGGTACAAAATTCAGTAGCCTCTTCACAAATATATCGTTCTACAATACAACCCTCTGGCCGACTTCGATTTTTCACATACCCTTTCAATATTTTCATGTAACGCTCAACTGGGTACATCCATCTTAAATACACTGGGCCACACAGTTGGACCTCTCTAACTAAGTGGATGGTTAAATGGACCATGATGTCAAAAAAGGCCGGAGGAAAATACATTTCAAGTTCACATAACGTAACTATGATTCGGGTTTGCAATCTTGGCAATTTACTAGGATTAATCACTTTGCTGCAAAGAGACTTAAAGAAGAAACATAACTTTGTGATCGTAACTCGTACCTTATCAGGTAAAATAGCCCGTATTGCCACTGGAATAAAGTTTTCCATTAAGACATGACAGTCATGAGATTTTAAACCTTTTAACTTCATATCCTTCATTGACACAAGGTTACTAATGTTAGAAGAGTAACCTTCCGGCACTTTTACTGAAGCAAGAAACTCACAAAAACTACTTTTCTCTTTTCTAGAAAGGGTGTGAGCTGCCGGACGAAGAAATGTACGAGTTCCCTTATCCTCTGGTGCCAATTCCTCCCTTATCCCCATTTCAACCATGTCTAGCCTGGCATTTATGCCATCTTTAGTCTTCCCGGGAATATGGAGTAATGTGCCAAACAGACTTTCACATACGTTTTTCTCAATATGCATAGCATCAAGAAAATGTCTCACATTCAGGGTTATCCAATACGGCAGTATAAAGAAAATAGACCTCTTCTTCCACCCACTTGTCCCAACATGCTTCGCGAAAGGTTTTCCAAATTCACAATCTATATCTTTCACCTTTTGAAATACATCCTCCCCAATCAACGGTGTTGGTGCCTTACCTTCTTCTGAATTCCCATTAAAATATTTTTTGAATCGCCGGTAAGGATGATCACGATGCAACCATCTACGATGTCCCATATATGAATTTTTCATTCCATGCTTCAACCTTATGGAATCTGTGCTCTCTTCACAAATGGGACAACCAAGTTGTCCTTTAATGCTATACCCTGAGAGATTACCATACGCAGGAAAGTCGTTAATTGTGCCAAATAACATAGCTCTCAACTTGAATTTTTCTTCCTTATATGCATCATATACATCAACTCCATTCTCCCACAATACTTTCAAGTCTTCAATTAATGGAGCTAGATATATATCTATGTCATTTCCCGGTTGCTTTGGCCCAGAGATTATCATAGACATCATTGAATACTTGCGTTTCATGCATAGCCATGGAGGAAGGTTATATATAAACAAAATCACTGGCCATGTGCTATGGGTGCTGCTTTGCATCCCATAAGGGTTCATCCCGTCGGTGGCTAATGCAAGGCGTAGATTTCTATCTTCTTCCCCGAATTCAGGATACTCAATATCAAACTTCTTCCATTCTGGAGAATCAGCAGGATGGCGAAGCATGCCATCTTTAACCCTTTCATCTGCATGCCACCTTAAATTTTTCGCATCTTCTACATTACTATACAAGCGTCTGAATCTTGGCACTATGGGAAAATACCATAATGCCTTCTTCGGGCTCTTCCCATTCTCTTGGTAGCGTGATGCATTACACTTAGGACACTCAGTTAGTGACTTATACTCCTTCCTAAACAAAATGCAATCATTGGGGCAAGCATGTATCTTCTCATAGCTGAGGCCGACAGAGCGCAACACTTGCTTTGCATCATACGTTTTACTTGGAAGCTCATTTTCTTTCGGTAGCATTTGTTTAACAAGCAACAGCAGTTCTGTGAAGCTTGTGTCGCTCCACCCATTTCTTGCTTTCAAATTATACAGTTTCAACACTGCAGACAATTTTTGAAATCAGTACAACCTTCATATAGAGGTGTCTCAGCATCACACTTCAATCTATCAAACATTTCAGGACAATCGTCAAGTTCCCGTTCAATCGCATCTGTCATCTCCTCAAGACGATCAGCTTCACATGTACTCATGTCAAGATTAGATGATCCACAGCTTTCACTATGCCCTACTACTATTACTCACATCTCTTGTCTCTCCGTGCTTTGTCCAACACTTGTAACTTTGATCAATTCCATTGATAATTAAGTGGCTCTCACAATCGGATGGCGAAACCCACTTCAAAAGGCAACACTTAAGACAGGGGCAAATAATCCTGTTGCGATCATCGGCGTGCTCAATCGCAAACTTAATAAAATCTTCTACCCCATCCCAATATTCTTTTGATAGACGATTGGCGGACATCCATTCTTTGCCCATGGTCCCCGACTAAGATGAATCATTTAGAGGAAAATGTGATCAGTGACTCAAAGATATTATGAGAATTAAACAAAAATAGAAAGTCAACACATGAGCCACTATTGATCACATTTATCCCTCTTTAATTCTACTTGCTAACAACTAGTAGTTGTTAGCAACTAGTAATTCAACAAAAATTTACTTTCATTTCAGTTTGAAAAATATTCTACTACTACTAATGTGCTATTCCATTTGAAAAAAATTCGGCAGCATAACAGCTTATAACTTAGAATTCCCCAGGCTTTATGGCAGAAAACCAAACCAGCACATAGTCAATTTCAATTACAAAAACAAAAATTGAAACATTAGCATTGCATTCCCCAGACTTTATCATGAAAACAAAAAACTAAAACACCCTCAACCCAAACTGATCAAAATGCGAAACACCCATTTAGAATCAAGAACAGAAAAAAAACCCATTCGACCAAATAGCAAACCCATTTTTCGTGTGTGCATGGTGAACGGTCCTAGCATTATCCTATCATTCCCTTTCCACTACAATCATTTCTCAAAGGAAGAACTAAAGGAAATAAGGGGAGCGAGTGAAGGATTACCAACCTGAAGCCGAAATGACAATCTGGAGAATGCACGACAGTGACGAAGCAGGAGGATGCCGCAACGATAATGGAGGACACCGAGAGGGACGATGATGGAGGACGGCAAGGACGGGCAAAAAAAGCAAAAGGGAACGGCCGAAACAGAGGTGGGTACGACGGCTTGGAGAGTCCGAAGCGGAAGGGGCGCAATCGGGAGAATGCACGCACAATGACAAGGCAGGAGGATGTCGCACTGATAATGGAGGACACTGAGAGGGACGATGATGGAGGACGAGTAAGGACAAGCAAAAAAAGCAAAAGGGAACGGCCGAAAAAGAGGTGGGTACGGCAGCTTGGAGAGTCCGAAGCGGAGGGGGCGCTAGAAATTTTGAACTGAAGAGACTGAACAGGGGAAAGGGACGGGTTTTTAAGCACAATACTTGACGGTTTCTATTAATAACCGTCAAGTATTCTCAAATAATATTTGACGGTTTTAAATCAAAACCGTCAAGTATTAGTAAACTTGACGGTTTTGATTTAAAACCGTCAAGTTTAATAAAATAACCGTCAAGTATTTTTCGAATACTTGACGGTTTCTTTGAAACCGTCAAGTATTGTTCTACTAAAATTGACGGTTTCTTTAGAAACCGTCAAGTTTTCTTCCGGGGGATTATATTTGACGGTTTTTGTGATAACCGTCAAATATTTAGCGTCAAGTATTCCCCAATTTGTAGTAGTGTCTCTATTTTAAGGGATTAAAAATCAAAAGTGACCTTGAGCCTTTTCTCTACATGTTTTTCTGAAGTCACTCGTTTCATTTACTGATTACTTGATCAATAAATTATTAATCTATAACCTGATTGATAAATAAACTTGCCTGTTTCAAATTCTTTCTATTTGATTAATTGATAATTTGATCGATCAACGAGTCATCGATTATTACTTTGATCAAGGATGTCCAGTTCTTGTTCAATACATTTAGTAATTGATTGATTCTACTTTCAAACTATGAATGTTCATTTTTATCATTTGATCAGTTATGCTCCTGAGCTTTACTCTGCAAGAAAAACTTATTAGATTGAAGTATTATCACAGATTACGAAGAAGAACTCAACAGTTATCCAACGGTTGTTTAGTAGCCTGTAACCTCCCATGTCAGAAGCATTAATGGCGAAAACTGTTGCAACTGGGAAAACACACAACCAAACTCTCAATGGCTAGAAGCACTTCCATCTAACGGTTATTAAACTTCCTCAACTATAAAAGGTGCGAAGAAGCATTGAATACAAGATTGAATACGCGAGCTACCTTCTACAAATAACTTACTCTTGCATTCAATACTCTGTTCTTGTTTGTACTAAGCATCAGTATTTCTCATCTATTTACTCTGTGAGAGAGCTCTACATATCATCTTTAATTACTTTCTGAGTGAAACTCAAGAGTGTGGACTCTTGAGTAGGTAGTAAGGGGGAGTGATTGAGCGAATCAATTGCTGTACTACGGCACCAAGAGCTCGATTAATCTTAGAACTTAGTGAAATACTCAGAGGTGTTCTGAGACCGGACGTAGGTCAAGTGGTTGAGACCGAAGTAGTATAAATTCTGTGTCTACTCTCTACGGTGAAATCACTATAACTTATGCTCTCTATTTCTATTTAGCTTACTGTTTTTTAATTCGCAAGATTTTTATAACTTACCCAATTCACCCCTCTCGTGGGTGAGACTGCCACTAACATTTGGTATTAGAGCAGGTCTCTTCTGTAAAGACTTAACAGTCCGAAGAGAGATCCCATAGGAGGTTTCAGAGACAGTGTGCTACCCGAAGGGTGTTCAACATCAAAGCCACCTGGCTTCAATGGAGAAAACTATACCTTCTGGAAGATGAGGATGAAAATCTTCATTAAAGCTACCAAGTATGGATTATGGCATGTGATCGAACATGGTAACTACATTCCAATGAAAATCATAGATGGATAACAAGTTCGTAAGAGTCCCAGGGAGTTCGATGAAGAAGACAGGAAGTTGGTGACACTAAATGACAAAGCTATCAACATACTAACCTGTGCACTAAGCCGAAGAGAATATTTTTGAGTTTCCAGTTTGGAAACTGCAAAGGAAATATGGGAAGCACTAGAGATTGCTCACGAAGGAACCACCAGTGTAAAACAGAGCAGAATCAACACTCTCACCACAAAATTCGAATTATTCAGAATGAAGGATAGAGAGTGCATCCAAGACATGGAAGTTAGATTCTCGCACCTCATAAATCACCTTACTGTACTCGGAAAAAAGTATAGTCAGGAAGACCAAGTGAGGAAAATCTTAAGTGGTCTCACAAAAGAATGGGAGTCAAAAGTAACAGCCATTAAGGAAACGAAGGGAGAATCAATTGGCTCAGTTGCAGCACTATTTGGAAGTCTTGCAGAATATGAGAGCAAGAAAAAATATAAAAAGGAGATGAATGAGAAAAATTACAAAGGCATTGCTCTGAGAACTCAAGAGAGTGAAGATGACAATGAAGAGGACTGGAAGATGATGAAATGGGTCTTATCGTCAGAAGGTTCAAGAAATTCTACAGAAACAAAGCTGGAAGGAGGTTTCAATCAAAATGTAAAATCTCCACATCTCAGAATGAGCCAAAGGAACCAATCATATGCTTCAAATGCAAAAAGCCGAGGCACATCAAATTAGAGTGTCCTCAACTATCCAAGATAAAAGACAAAGAAAAGAAGAAAGAAAAGTTCAGAAAGAAGAAAGCCTT